GTAATATAAACCTTACATACCCTTACTTTTAGTGTTTACAGTAAAAGTTTTATGTCATTTTCGAATAAGCACTATTAAATTCAGACTGTTTTCCACTGTTTTAACCAGTCAAAAGTTTTGAAAATTATTTGTCTACCTAAATACCCTTATGCTTTCAGCTGCATTTGAGCGGAAGCACATGTATCAGTTTCTTAGGCCGAGTCCCCAGGAAAATTTTGTTTACATTCACTCAGGATCATTTTCAGATAGTCTCCTTCTTTCCTCATTAAGTCCCTATATCATTTCTTTTTTCATAAACCTATGACCCTTTTCAGCTTAAGCCTTCTACGATAATATAATACATAGAACATATATTTTTATTCAAATAAACTCCAGAGCATTTTTAGCTATTGTCGTTTATTTCGTGTATCAATGAAGAAATTTTAACATTAAATCGAGATCCTTTTCAGCTAGGCTTGTTCTATTTCAACTAAGTCACAAAGACATTTATTTTTACATTAACTCAGGGCCGTTCTAGAGTTATGATCGTTCTGTCTTTTTAAAAGACTTTTTGTCATTTTGGAACACCTTCACAGTGAACTGTGAATGTATAGTGGAGTGATAAAAAACATCACAAGATAAAAGAAGAAACTAAATTAAAAAAAAAAACATTTTAAGCCAAAAAGAAAAACAACTAAAAATTTTTAAGAAATTGCTTGCATCATATTAACATAACCCATGTTCTGTCATGCGCATAATACAGTTAAATAATATTATTGATCTCGGAAAATGAAGTAGCAATAGTAGTGTGAGAAGCTGGATTAAATGTCATGTAACTTGTATCCTATTGTTTTTTATATCACAAATGAGATGTGGTACTATTGTCAATGCGCTAAATATCTACCATATACCAAAAGGCCGTAGGTATAAGCAACTTTTGTTTAGCGTACAACCTTCAACAATGAGCAAAATCAAAACCGTATAGAACCCTATAAAAGGCCCCGGCATAACAAAATGTGAAACAATTCAAACGAGAAAACTAAGGACTATACTAAAACAAGTAACGAAAACAAATTTGGGAGACAATAACCAACTGAATAACGATCTCTTGACTTGGAACAGGCATATAAGTATGTGGCGTGGTTAAGCATTTTTGTGAGCGCTCAATCCTCCTCTAATCTGGGACAGTGGTGTAAATTTTATTAGCAAATATGAGACCGAAGAGAACTTGAATAACACAACTAAGAATTATCATGACATGCATCTGGATGATATAAATTACTGGAAATAAAAAGTTGTTAGGCATTAGTTTTTTTCATTTGTTCATTGGCAGAATTAATTATTTTAAACATTTTCTACAGGAAGACAAAAACTCCGAAGGACTGTCATTATGACATGTGATTAAAATTTGTCTGGCACATTTGTTGGACCATGATACTATCAATTGTTCAATTTTTCTCATGTTCATTAATAATGTTTTATTAAATAGGGGCACATTGTTGGCTGCTGTGCCCCTATTTTTGACATTTTTGCCTATTATGTCTGTTTGTTTTGTTCACACATTGTTGTCAATATGATGGAATTTTGTGCGGCTGTCATGCGGATGAGAGGTTTGGCTGGCTTTGGAGCCAGGTTTGGTCCACCATTTTCTACATGGGAGAATGCCTGTGCCGGGTCGGGAGTGTGGCAGTTGTTTTCCGTTCGTTTGGTGTGTTTGGACTTTTGGTTTGACAATTGTTGGTGGACTTTCCATTTTGAATTTTCCTTTGAGTTCGGTATTTTTGTTGTTTTACTTTTTAATACTACTAATTGACACCTTTTTATTGTAGGAAAGTGTCTGATGTTAAGAAAGCATCTGGTGTTATTAGTACCAAAACTAGTTCAACATCACAGCCAACAGCACATAGATATAAGAAGATATGGTATGAGTGCCAATGAGACAACTCTCCATCCAAGTCACAATTTGTAAAAGTAAACCATTATAGATCAAAGTACGGCCTTCAACACGGAGCCTTGGCTCACACCGAACAGCAAGCTATAAAGGGCCCCAAAAATGACTAGTGTAAAACCATTCAAACAGGAAAACCAACGGTCTAATCTATATAAAAAACGAGAAACGAGAAACACTTATGAACCACATCAATAAACGACGACAATCACTGAACATCCGGTTCCTACACAGACGACAACACTGTCCTATTATTAGAGAAAATCCATTTGAGAATTAATCCTAGGAAGAAAAATGTTTATAATTTTATGTTTTTCTGAATATTTCTACATATATAATGCTAAACTTAAGTAAGTGGTTTGTCAGGTCATTTAGTTACTTATTTCAAAGTATTTTCCAGTAAATCGTATATCGTATGATGCAATCATACATGTAACATGTATCTATGTGGGCATAGTGTTTGTTTTTGTCAATAAACGTATGAGTATAGAAATAATGAGATGTGGCATGATTGTTAAGGTACCACCAGATACCAAAGGACAATGATGTAAACACATAAAGGTCACAGTACGACCTTTAAAAATGACCAAAACGTGAGTTGGCCAAATTTTTATTACATAAGAAATTTCCTTCGAAATATTTTTCGAAGTTTGTTGCACTATATAAGATAAAAATATCCTTTTCAATGAGTATCGGTTTTGGAGAAATTTAAAATATAATGACAAAAAAAATGACAAATGTAAAAAATCCCCCTTCTTTTTATTTAATTCATAGTTCATTTGTTTGATACTGACATGAACTTATAATTTTGCCTTGAGCGTGAACCTCAAAACTGAAACTAATCAATCATTAGACAGGATGCTTTTGTGCAAGTCATCTGCACATGTAGGGGTGGGATACTTACTATTGGAGAATTGCCTTCAACGTGGGGACAACAATAACAACAAAACATTCTAGAAGAAATAAAGTCAGAATGTTACATTTAACATTGTATTCAATATGTTTTTCCTAAGAATTGAAGCTTAAGTCGATAAAACAGGTTCTGATTATAATGAGATAAACCTAACATTTTTGAATACTTTGAATGTTTATTAATGCTGTTGTGTAAAATTTTAAAAAAAAAGTAGCGTGATAAAGTCTATACAAAAAAAAATCATCTCTGAAATAAATTTGCTAGTTGTAACATGCATGGGATTTGCTCATTGTTGAAGGCCGTACGGTGACCTATAGTTGTTAATTTCTGTGTCATTTGGTCTCTTGTGGAGAGTTGTTTCATTGGCAATCATACCACATCTTCTTTTTATATGTTTACTGAATAACCATCTGATCTGACATACCCGGTCGTGAACAGGCCGTTTTTGCTGTTTTAAGGCGTTCCTTTAATTTAATAACATATACAACGACTTTTTAAAAGTAAATCTCTGCAAATGTGATTTGCATAATCACTACTTGATAAAGACATCAGTGATCAACATACGACCTTCAAAAATAGAAAACAAATTATACGTGTTTATGGAATATGCCAATTTTTAAATCGAACAATAACTACAAAAAGTTGTGCATAATTGTAACTAAGCATATCAATGATATATATTACCAATATCAAATTCCCTAAATGGCAAAACTATAAATATATAACTAAAGATAACCACTGACAAAGTTCCGGAATTGGGACAAGCAAGTGCACAAGTGGCAGGGTTAAATAAGTTTAGATAAGAACCTTCCCTCCCTCTTTTAACTTGATAAGACGAATATCAAAAGATTAATACAAGAACGTACAATAAAAACCAGAATAAATGTCTGCAATGTTGGGCATCACAAAAACAAGTTCAAGCATGGCAAAAATGAAAATAATCGTATCATAGAATGCTCGCAATTACTGTAAGCAAGCCCAAAATGTCCTAAACAAGCTGATATTAAATCATTCAGGATATAAAAGAGGTTACGTAGATCACGTCTTGTAAGGCTAAATTCCTAGTCTTTATATTGTAACTTTCCATGACAGTTGTATTAGCATTGTCCATTTTTTCCCCTGGTTTTTCCAGGTTCTGAATAGTCATGAAATGTTTGCTACTGGACGTTAAGGAACTTACAATCTATCATTACTTGTCCCTTTACCCGTTCTCTTGCTTTTGATTTGCTTAGTTTGTGTTTTACACTATTGATTCCGGTTCCTGATTTCCCTTTAAATGCAGTTAGCACTGGTTAGTTAAGGAGACATTCTACCCGTTATTTGTAGACTTGTCAACGTTCATATTATTTCTGAAAATTAGTTTTCGGTTACGCAGCTCCTATTTTATAATGCCACAAAAAGACCTTTTTCCTATTTAGTCCAATCCGCAAAAAAAAAACCCAAAAAAAACAATTACATAGACAATTTCCTGTTGGGGTCAAGTGTTGCAAAAACATATGTCATAAGTATAATGAGCTGAGAAGGTAAAAGTTAAGAAAGCGAAAATTTAAAACTTTTGATAGTTTATGAACCATTTTGTTATAGACAAACTATAGTCATAAAATGGTTTATTTGAATTTTATACGATTGTATAAAGAATTAATTTTGAAACGTTTTATGCACAATACATTGTTTAAACAGGGCCCTATAGCTATAGTTAGCTTCTTTGAGACGTCATGAAAAACTGTGTAATTTCAGAACTCATCCGGATTGGAATAAATAGCAATAAGGTCTATGTGATTGGAGCAATCTGGTTTTATTTAAGCTCTATAATTATAAAAACACCAGTTATTCTGTGACATTGCAGAATAAAATTGTAATTAGCACCTTTGGGATATGATTCTAATAAATATTTATATAGTGATGAGTTGTATAAGAAAAGTAAACAGACCATTAAAACCAGGTAAAGTAAACAGACGATTAAAACCAGGTAAAGTAAACAGACGATTAAAACCAGGTAATCTGTTTGTTGTTTACATCCCTTTCCTTCGATCTTTGGTGGATAGTCTTCACATTTGTAGTCATCTCATTATTTTCGTATTGATAGTCAGCTTATTGTGCTCATAAGAGGAAAAATTTCTGATAATAGAATTTTTTGCCGGATTAAAAAATGTAAAAAAGTATGTTTGAATAAAAATTTATTTAAGTATTTATGAATCAATATAAATATGGGCCATTATTATGTGAATGAAGTTTCATTATTAGTCGAATTAGTCCTTGACCTTTGTGATCTTGATAAAGGAGATTTCTTTTTACAACAAATAATAGATTTCACAGTTTTTAACAATTCATCCCTAAACCGCTTGTGTATAATACTATATATAAACGGATTAGAGACACTGTTAATCAAATATGATCGGACTAAGAAATTATACAACAAATCCATTGAGGTATCTTCATTGAAAGCAAGGTGGAGAAAACGGAGGACACGTACACCTAAATGTGGTACAAATCCCAACACAAACACAACAGTAACTGTTAAAAAAACAAAGGTTGATCCATTTAAACTAAATGCTGACTTCCCAATGGCAAAACTTTCCTTTTTCCTCATTTCCGGGAACGCTTTAGTTTTATGTAGACGTTTTGTTTCTTCGGTATTAGTTATAAATGTTAAACCATTCCTTGTTTTTCCTTGACGCCGTCCGTATAAGGTCGCACCAATAAAACAATAGGAAACTAACATTGTTATAAGAGCTGATAGAAAAGTAGTCATCAGCAAGTAAGTGTAAATTTTCCCGCTTTTTGCATTCGGGTTTTCAAATGTTGTACAACCACATGCTGTCACGTTTGTGTTATTAACATTCAACGGTATCTTTTCAAGTCCAGCAAACTTCACTAGGGGTACGGCAAAGAGTAAACCAAGAAACACGCAGAATCCACACACTTTCTTGGCACGACTAGCCGTTAGAAGCAAACGAGATTTATAACGACATAAATGTACATATCGGTCTATTGAAATCGCAACTAATGTAAATCCGGCTCCTAATATTAACATAAATTCACTGAATCGAGCAAGTTTACATAAAATCGTCCGTGTGAATGTAAACGTGTGTCCCAAATCATAGATCTCAAATGGTATTACTACTGTACAACTTAAAAAATCAAGAATTGCTAGAGCTAAAATAAAAATACGATTTGTTGTAGTTTTTGGCTTCCGAGAGTACACATATATCACTAATCCATTTCCAATCATTCCAGTTAGTAACAGAACAGCTATGGCACAAATCACGGAAATTAATGGCTGCTTATCGTTCTCTGCCTTAACTATCAACCAGTTTGAGATCCGACATGTTCCTTCCTCATCCGCAGTTATAGTTGAATTAATTTCCAAAGAACTATTCATATCAAAATTCATATTGCTTGCTAAGGTTTATTCATCCTCACTCTGAAAAGATAAAAAATAAAGACATCAGTGACACGCTGCATATATGAAGGTCTGGATGGGGGTTCCTTCATTTCTTTGTTCCTTAATTTTTTAGACCATTTTCTATATTTTCTATTTATTTTGCCCATTATATGTTAGCCCCACATTATTCTCTATTCTTTATATGTTTGCCTATTTTTCTCCATTATTTATTCCTTTATTATGCACTTTTTGCCCATTATTCTCTATTCTGTAAATCCCATCCAGACCCTCGTCTATATATTTATTGATTTGCAGCTGACTTTATTTACCATTGGTTGTAAGTTGTTGTGAATTGTTAAAATCAAACACAAAAGTTTGTGATTTTTAAATGGATTAGTAATATCCTGGCAAATGCAATGCATTATTCCCATGGTAACATTCGAAACATTATCTTTTTTTCATATTAATCAAACAAAATATATTTTTTTTCAGATGAATATTATGACATACAGGATAATTGTCATATTTTTTCATTCAAATAGTTATTGTCAAATAAGTTTGATTGCTGAACAACATGATGACGTGCAGTTAATGCAACATAGGAAGTTAAATAAAAAACGATTCAAATAGTTATTGTCAAATAAGTTTGATTGCTGAACAACATGATGACAGTTAATGCAACATAGGAAGTTAAATAAAAAAAAAACGCTAAGTTTATCTATTTTAAAATAATTAACTATTTCATACTTCAAGAAATAAGTGTATACATTTATTAAACCGCACATTTTATGTGAATACTTACGTCAAATAAAAAGACAAGTTACAAATATAAATAATTATCCAACAAATCTGTAAACACGATATTATAATTGATACACTCCACTGACTTAAGTATTATGAATAATACTCGGGAAAAGGAAACACAGCATTATATGAAGTAAAACACTTTAGTCACCCCAAAGCAGGAAGTGTGTATTCGATCCCTTCATAAGTTTAAATTGCTCTTGCTGTATGGATGTTCCTGTATATTATTCTGATTCATTCTTTTGCTATTCGGACAAACGTCAGACAATCTCGGATGTCCTGGGCTTGGAGACACTCATATATATGTACCTACTTCAAGTAGATGGGATCATTGAATGTCCACACGTTTTACTGTATTTTGTGCATATATTTAGAGTTAATGCATGAGTTTCAGAGTGCAAATGAACTGCTAAATTAGAATCACAAAGTTAACAAGCAATCAACACGTTTCTGTACAGATGTATGTTGTCTAAAAGTATCGGCGTCTTAATAACAGAATCTGTGAAATAAAATTCTTAGCTTACAGAGTAATTAAGCTGTCGATCAGTTTAAAAATGCATATGAATAGAAATAAGATGTGGTGTATACGTTTAGTCTAGATGTCAACATACAGTCTTAAAAAATATTCATATGTCTAGATAATATGCCTAAATCACTCCGATTCGGAAAGAAAGTTGCGAAAAAAGTTTAGCATAGACAACCAAAGATCTCCAATCAATAACAAATTCTGCAAATGACTAGAAACGTTAAGATATGATATGAGATAATAACTGTCGAGTTTCCAGACGTAGGACGGGAACAACGTTGTGGTTGAGTTACAGTAGTATTTTTTTTAGATTGCAACCCCCTTTTTCACCCTATTACGCACGCCAGGTATAATATGTATATGGTACATAAAAACCATAAAACAAATAAAAAACTGGAAAATGAATTCATTTATACAGTAACGATATAATAGACAACTAAACCATAAGAACAAACCAAACAATAATATAGACTGAACCAGATCAAAGAATGCTTATGTAAATGCTCTTTTGTTCCGACGTTGGAAAGTTCCGGGCGGAAAAAACTAACTAGCCGAAAAGTTCCGGAGGAACTTATTAACTAGTTACTTTGTTCCTCCTCTGGTTGAAAAGTTCCACCGGAACAAAGTGACTAGTTGAAAAGTTCCAACGGAACATATCAACTAGTTAGAAAGTTCCTTTTTGCCAACTTACTCAAAACCGGAACTAACAAACTAGCCCAAAAGTTCCAACGGAACTTATCAACCAGTCACAAAGTTCCATTTGGAGAATTGATGCAAAGTAAATGCGCAACATATTATCTTTGAACCTTTTCAAAGGGGAACATAGATACAAGCCACAAAAGTCAAACGGAACTTATCACTAGTCACAAAATTCCTCTTTGTCAAATAAATCTATAACGGAACTAACAAACAAGTCAAAATTACCAACGGAAAATATCAAATAGTCAGACATCTACATTCAGAGAATTATCTAAAAAAGGGAAGAACATATCATCATTGAACTTTTAAAAAACGGAACCAAGTGACTACAAGACACTAGCCACAAATGCCAAACGGAACTTATCAAATAGCTACATAGTTCCTCCTTCATCGGCGAATTATCCCAAACTGGAAATAGCAAACTAGCTTAAAAGTTCAAACGGAACTTATCAACTAGCTACTTTTTTCCGGAACTTTTCAACTGCACTCGGAATAAAACAACTAGTTGGAAAGTTCCGTCGGAACGAAATAACTAGTTGAAAAGTTCCGCCGGAACAAAGTAACTGCCGGAACATAGTGGCTGTTACATATACAGCTGAAAGTAAACTCAAATTACATCTTTTGTATACTTAACCTGCTTAACCTTCACTAGTAATTGTTTATTTCGTATACGTACAATGTTAGGTTCTTTCATTTAGAAAGTAACATACATCTAGAAGCAACATATGTATTAATTAAAAACCAATTGTTCAGAGAACAATTGAAGGTCTTTCCACCCATAAAGATCAATTTTGATATAGAACTATTAAAATTCAGTTTGATATATCATATCCAGCGTCAAATGATAGCTTATTGTACACTGATTCCAAAAATATATGGTTTCTATACATTTTTTTCTAAATAAGGGAGATAAATTGTTACTTCCGGTTTGAAATATGTCACTTCCGGTTGTATTTGATAGTTTACTTGATACTGCTTCCAAAAATATATGGTTCAATATACTTTGACATTAAATAAGTACAAAAAATAGCTACTTCCGCTTTACACCAGGTCACTTCCGGTTGGCTTTTCCATGGTCAAGTGGCTTGCAACGTAATGCAAAAAGTCCCATGGCTTTATCATGTATATATATGAGGTAAAAGCAAAGGTCAAAATCTAAAACGTCAATTTTACCTATGACCTTGGGCTCAATTTCAAGGTCATAAACCAAGGGCTTCAAATCAAAAGACTATAGGTCTTAATTATATATGGTTAATGAGTTATATCACAATATGTCTAATTTTTAATATAAGAGGGGAGAAAACTCCAATTTAATGTTAGCGTACCCTTTCAACCAAAATTTATGTGTTACGACATGTCGCAACTTACAGTTTAGTAAAAATATGTTGTCGATATCTTATACGGTTTTTGAAAAGAATTGAAAATAAGCCAAAATCAAAAATTAAAAATATGATCTTGACCTCTGACCTTGACTTAATTTTCTTATTTTTGGATCAAGGACCTCAAATCAACAGATCCTAGGTCTCTATCACTTATGGTTTACAAGATAGAAATGCATATCACTTATATGAAATGCATAAGGGGAAATAACTCTCATATGGAGTGTTCGTATGGCTTCGGTCAAAATTGAACAAATCATGCGAAGGATATAACGAGCAATTTTATAAAATAAATTTGTCGCTTTCTTTTACGGTTACGGAGGAGATGCAGTCACAAGGAAAACAGTGTTCAGGGAGATAACTCCTACAAAGAAAATTGTTCGGCTTAGAATGGGTGAAAATAAAAAGCGCATAAACTGTATGATACTATATAAGAAATATCTAAGCGACATCTTGCGAAACAAAAATTTAACGCGAGAACAAAATTAGGCGGAAGAAAAAAATAAAAATAATAATTAAAAACCAATTGTTCAGAGAACAATTGAAGGTCTTTCCACCCATAAAGATCAATTTTGATATAGAACTATTAAAATATCATATCCAGCGTCAAATGATAGCTTATTGTACACTGATATGTGGTTTCTATACATTTTTTTTCTAAATAAGGGAGATACATTGTTACTTCCGGTTTGAAAAATGTCACTTCCGGGTTTTTTTATAGTTTACTTGATACTGATTCCAAAAATATATGGTTCAATATACTTTGACATTAAATTAGTACAAAAAATAGCTACTTCCGCTTTACACCAGGTCACTTCCGGTTGGCTTTTCCTTGGTCAAGTGGCTTGCAACGTAATGCAAAAAGTCCCATGGCTTTATCATGTATACATATGAGGTAAAAGCAAAGGTCAAAATCTAAAACGTCAATTTTACCTATGACCTTGGGCTCAATTTCAAGGTCATAAACCAAGGGCTTCAAATCAAAAGACTATAGGTCTTAATTATATATGGTTAATGAGTTATATCACAATATGTCTAATTTTTAATATAAGAGGGGAGAAAACTCCAATTTAATGTTAGCGTACACTTTCAACCAAAATTTATGTGTTACGACATGTTGCAACTTACAGTTTAGTAAAAATATGTTGTCGATATCTTATACGGTTTTTGAAAAGAATTGAAAATAAGCCAAAATCAAAAATTAAAAATATGATCTTGACCTCTGACCTTGACTTAATTTTCTTATTTTTGGATCAAGGACCTCAAATCAACAGATCCTAGGTCTCTATCACTTATGGTTTACAAGATAGAAATGCATATCACTTATATCAAATGCATAAGGGGAAATAACTCTCATATGGAGTGTTCGTATGGCTTCGGTCAAAATTGAACAAATCATGCGAAGGATATAACGAGCAATTTTATAAAATAAATTTGTCGCTTTCTTTTACGGTTACGGAGGAGATGCAGTCACAAGGAAAACAGTGTTCAGGGAGATAACTCCTACAAAGAAAATTGTTCGGCTTATAATGGGTGAAAATAAAAAGCGCATAAACTGTATGATACTATATAAGAAATATCTAAGCGACATCTTGCGAAACAAAAATTTTACGCGAGAACAAAATTAGGCGGAAGAAAAAAATAAAAATAATAATTAAAAACCAATTGTTCAGAGAACAATTGAAGGTCTTTCCACCCATAAAGATCAATTTTGATATAGAACTATTAAAATATCATATCCAGTGTCAAATGATAGCTTATTGTACACTGATATGTGGTTTCTATACATTTTTTTTCTAAATAAGGGAGATACATTGTTACTTCCGGTTTGAAAAATGTCACTTCCGGTTGTATTTGATAGTTTACTTGATACTGCTTCCAAAAATATATGGTTCAATATACTTTGACATTAAATAAGTACAAAAAATAGCTACTTCCGCTTTACACCAGGTCACTTCCGGTTGGCTTTTCCATGGTCAAGTGGCTTGCAACGTAATGCAAAAAGTCCCATGGCTTTATCATGTATACATATGAGGTAAAAGCAAAGGTCAAAATCTAAAACGTCAATTTTACCTATGACCTTGGGCTCAATTTCAAGGTCATAAACCAAGGGCTTCAAATCAAAAGACTATAGGTCTTAATTATATATGGTTAATGAGTTATATCACAATATGTCTAATTTTTAATATAAGAGGGGAGAAAACTCCAATTTAATGTTAGCGTACACTTTCAACCAAAATTTATGTGTTACGACATGTTGCAACTTACAGTTTAGTAAAAATATGTTGTCGATATCTTATACGGTTTTTGAAAAGAATTGAAAATAAGCCAAAATCAAAAATTAAAAATATGATCTTGACCTCTGACCTTGACTTAATTTTCTTATTTTTGGATCAAGGACCTCAAATCAACAGATCCTAGGTCTCTATCACTTATGGTTTACAAGATAGAAATGCATATCACTTATATCAAATGCATGAGGGGAAATAACTCTCATATGGAGTGTTCGTATGGCTTCGGTCAAAATTGAACAAATCATGCGAAGGATATAACGAGCAATTTTATAAAATAAATTTGTCGCTCTCTTTTACGGTTACGGAGGAGATGCAGTCACAAGGAAAACAGTGTTCAGGGAGATAACTCCTACAAAGAAAATTGTTCGGCTTATAATGGGTGAAAATAAAAAGCGCATAAACTGTATGATACTATATAAGAAATATCTAAGCGACATCTTGCGAAACAAAAATTTTACGCGAGAACAAAATTAGGCGGAAGAAAAAAATAAAAATAATAATTAAAAACCAATTGTTCAGAGAACAATTGAAGGTCTTTCCACCCATAAAGATCAATTTTGATATAGAACTATTAAAATATCATATCCAGTGTCAAATGATAGCTTATTGTACACTGATATGTGGTTTCTATACATTTTTTTTCTAAATAAGGGAGATACATTGTTACTTCCGGTTTGAAAAATGTCACTTCCGGTTGTATTTGATAGTTTACTTGATACTGCTTCCAAAAATATATGGTTCAATATACTTTGACATTAAATAAGTACAAAAAATAGCTACTTCCGCTTTACACCAGGTCACTTCCGGTTGGCTTTTCCATGGTCAAGTGGCTTGCAACGTAATGCAAAAAGTCCCATGGCTTTATCATGTATACATATGAGGTAAAAGCAAAGGTCAAAATCTAAAACGTCAATTTTACCTATGACCTTGGGCTCAATTTCAAGGTCATAAACCAAGGGCTTCAAATCAAAAGACTATAGGTCTTAATTATACATGGTTAATGAGTTATATCACTATATGCCTAATTTTTAATATAAGAGGGGAGAAAACTCCAATTTAATGTTAGTGTACCCTTTCAACCAAAATTTATGTGTTACGACATGTT